ATGACAACTTGCTTTCTTGCAGTAATTTATAAATAAAACTAAATCTTTCAGTTTTTCGCATTCAAAATAAAGACTAACTCACAATAAACTAAATTTAAATAATCGGATTTATGCCAGTTTGTAACAAACAAGCTTTGAAATACTTTTAACGTCAGACTGTCACTGCAGAAATGGCTTCGTCATGAACATTATAGTCAGTGAATTCCCCGGCAGCATAGACTGATTGAATAAACGTTTATTAAACGAAAGATTGGTTTATTTTTGGTAACCATTTTCTGAATAAATATTTATCATTGGTTTTATTTAACGTGACGAATGAACAACTTGACTTCATTATTCATTTAAATTGCGCAAATTATATATGTTAACATAAACCAATTATAAATCAGACAAGTAAATAAAATATAAACGTTCTGAGGAAAACACCCATTTCCAAATGTTTATTTACAACATATAAAACGCAAAATTAAGCACATATTACCTCTAAAATGTATATACATTTTGTTCATCGTTAATTGTTTTATAACATACTTGCCGTTCAGGTGTCTTAAAAGAAATATATCTACTTTTTAAACCAAACATTCACAAGCATTTAACTAAATACATACATAATGTCAGACATGAGTTTATTGGTATTTACTGACTCACATTTCCGTAGTAAAGAAAAAACTAATCTGAGAAATTATTAATTACATACTACAGAAAATATCACCAAAATAAACATAAATATTAAACGGAAATATGTGTGTCAGAAAAAACTGTCACAAATTTTCTTAAACACAATATTCTGTTAATGCTGTAAAACTTTTAAGCGTTTAGATTATTACCCATAGAAGTTCTTCTAATATAAAATTTGCAAAACTACGCAACTGCGAACGTGAAGAAAATGAGCCTGAAATCCAAATCCAAGACATTTCAGACAAAGGGTTACTAGAAAGATAAATATTGGTATAAAAACAAACATAATAAGTGCCTTTAACAAGAATTTCCACAACTCATTCAATTTACATAGGTGGTATAAAATACCGTTTTCAGAAATTGTTATCTTTTGCAAATTACCACTTTTTGCAAAATTTTTGCCTTGAGTTGTGTTTGTTGAGGGAACACCTTTTTTGCCATCATATTACTTGAAAATTCATTCACTTAGTAAAGAAAGAAAACTGTTTGGTTCAAAGTCTTATTCGACGGGGTAAGATTTAGGTTCATTTTTTTTGTAACTAAGATATTTGTCCTTTCTTAATCCGTGAAACAGAAAGAAATTGCTTTACCGTTGGGCTCAGCAAAAATTAGTTTGTAAGTTATTACGCACAAATTAACTAAAGACTTTATGGTTTGAGTCAAAAATATCAAACATATTGTATATAAGGTTCTGTCCAGGGCAGTATTTGATAAATAAGAATTGTTTCCTATGTTTATGAAATATCAATATATTTAAATTTTACAACGATCAAAGCTGTGAGATAAACACATAAAACCAAATTAGTGTTCTTTTTTTTTCATCATTTAAGGTACGACTAAAAATCTAACACTGCTCTATCTTGACGATATGTGTCCTGAAATTGTAGTTCGGTACATGAATCAGTACCAGGACTAAATAAACTAAATTTAGGACAAAAGCAACACTTTGTCCAAAAATCGATTATCATATCTCCATCATTTATTACAACCATTTTTTCTTTCAAAGAAAAAACTTTCATTATTCGAACTCCATTTTGTAGCAAAATAATCATCAATCTTTTTATGTTAACTCGTAATAAATACATAAAAATCAAGGCTATTATGTAAGGTGTATAACAAAATCGAAAGCTTGTTTTCTTTAAGACGCTGCCACTCAATATATTTCGTTTGAACCGTTTATTATCCTTTAACAGTATCCACTGCTGTTTCCAGTTTTAATTTAGTTAGCAGGCTCTTTGAAATCATAATTACATAAAGGTATGTTCTCCAAATAGATTTAGTTATTCTGAAAGCGTAACCATTGTCTTGGTCACGATAAGACAAAACGAACCGAGACGCATTATTTTCGTAACACCTAAATACATAATTCCGTTTTTTTTTAAACATGCTGATGAAACTCTAATTTATTTCTGCTATCCATCCACTAAATTTTAGTTGAAGCAAAAAAGAATGCAAGTGAATTTACTTAGTCATTGTATACAAGCGAGGGAGTCCACTAAAAAGACAGGGTATGAATCGATTCGCTCGCAAAAATGGGGTACGCGCCTGCCACCTAATGTAATCATTTAATTGAGAAATAATAGGCACTACATTGTGCTAGCGAAGTCCCGAAACAAAGTCGGCTCGATTTCTCTTGTTTTGCCGTCGTGTCCGATTGGGTAAGTGTGACGTGAGCTGTTATGTTAATAATGAAAATACAATTTATTCATTTATGGACGAACAACAGCGTACCGTCGACGTCGAAAATGAACAAGCCACCGAAAGCTTTTGCAAAACGTCAAAAACAAACGGATAAAAGAATTCATGATTTTGGTACCAAACTCACATTTATTGTTTCGGATTTAGATCTAAATTAATGCAGTCCCTCAGAACCTAAAAACATATTTCAAAAAATTTCCTATATGAATTATACATTGAGTATCAAGCCGAAGACTTATCCCTTTCTCATTATTTTTCTTTATTTATGAAGAAAAGCTGCTTAAAATCAGAGCACCTATATACAGCTTTTTTTTTAAACGTAATGCAAACGGTCGATTTTAATGCTGCTTATGCGTTTACGGAGTTTGTGGTTTTTATAATCTTCCTTTTCTTTACAACAGACGTATGCTGTTGATTTTGTTAGTTATCAGAACGTGTGTGTAGTTACGACCCTGAAGCGTCAAAATCATCAATAGATTAATGAAAAAGAACAAGAACCTATTCTTCGCGGACTTAAAAGGAAAATATGTATGTCGGACTGTAAACTTGCTGAGTAGTTTGAAGTCAGTAACACATGTAAACTGCTGAATGGGATTAAGGGCAAAGGACATGTAGAACGTTGACAAGTACTAGGGTGACCGCGAACTACAACTCAACACTGAATCGTCCTGTAACCAACTAGTCTAAAATGGCATTTCAGTTCATCATATAGCACAAAAGATTAAAATGTGGATTAAAATTATTTATAATTCTAAAATGTGAACTCTTTTTCAGCGCTACGATACATTTTTAAAAGAGACATGAAAATATTTTAGGAAAATCTGTTTTGTCAAAATCTGAGTTATATGAAAAGAAATCAAGCGAAAATACTTAGCTTAGAGTACTGGCATCACGAGATTAAAATAATCACAGCCTATTGATTATTATTATCGAAACAAATGTTATTGCAAAAGGATAGTACTGGAAATTTATTAGAACAAGTGACCCATGTTAATTCAAATAGTAGCAATTTGAAAAAAAAAGAAAATATACCCAGATTCTACCATTTCCTGGTTTCTAAAATTAGAATAATCACCTCCGTCAATACTTGAAAGCACATTTCATGATCAATTGAAAAACTATATAAAGTCGCAAACAAAACTTAGTGACAAACGGATTCTTGATTGAATATTAAAGCTTTCGTCACTAAATTTTAGTGCCAAAATAAAATGACAGAAATGACAGACGTAAGAAATCACAAGTTGCGCAAATTTATATAAATAACGAACATCAGTTAACTGAAATTGTTTCGAGCGATTTCCTAAAAATAGTTTCAACAGGTTTCGTGGCTTTAAGAGGTTTGAACATTTTATTATTAATAGTTTTGGCTATTATTAATTTATTAATTAATCAATTTATAAGAAGAACTAGCACAATCAATTCATAAAAACATAACAGTTCCATAACTCTTTATAAACTAGTTACACAAGAACTGGTCAAGAACAACACTACACGACTTTTAACTAACTTCTACGGTAGCGCGGAGTATCTAGTCCTTATTGACATTTAAAAATCGAGTTCGTAGCTATATCGTATAGAACGAGATTTTTAAATTATGAAACCAGTATTGTCTATAAGATTTTTTCGAACACTAACAACTTATCGGAAACTATCAGATTTCAATTTAGTTATTTGAGTGGAGCTGCTATAATGTATGAGAAGATTGCCGTGTGTGGCTACTACGGTAGTAAGGTCAACAAATTTTGAAAAAAATAAATTTCATCATTAAAATGTGTGAAAACCTTCCACATGAAATTATAAAAAAAGGAGAATTGCCGAGTAACTTATTATCGGCGAAATCTCAAAAAGTGTATGTTTCGTTCCAAGAGTGGAAGACTAAAAAAGGCATCGCGGAAGTAACCGAAGATGCCATTTTAGCTTTTATTGATATGAGGGTACGTGTTTAGCAGTAAGATGCGTAGAATATCTTTGAAAAGCTAATTAATAACACGTTTACAGTCGTAAAAGTTGGCGCCAGCTTCCTTGTGGCCAGAATATTCGATGTAAAAGCAACTCTGAAGGCAAAACAAAATACACATATTGAAAAGTTTGATTCTGTCATTCCTTATTTAAAGAAATTAAACGCTAGTTATCGTTGTAACAAAGCGAAGATAGTATCGCGAGAAGTAACATTTTTAGAGCAAGCGGATGATGGAGAATATTTATTTACAAAAGTAAGTAATAAATAAAAGTAATAAGTATAGAATTGTTTAGGTTGTTTTAATATTTGAAATTACTTGGGCCTGCAGAAAAGTCGAAGTGTGCACTTTGAAATTCAATAACATACAGGACTGTTGGCAATGTACTGTAACTTCATTTGAGATACACCTGTTAAAACTTTTCTGACTTAAGCAGCTTAAGCCAAACCACCCTTATAAGTCAAACTGGCTATTGTATTACTTAACTCAGTTCACAGCTGCCAACAATGGACAGTAATAATCTTGCGGTTCGGGTCCACAAAGCTTACAATAGCTAGTTTGACTTATAAGGGTGGTTTGGCTTAAGCCGCTTAAGTCATAAAAGTTTTAACAGGTGTATCTCAAATGAAGTTACAGTACTGAATGTTGTTATTCCTGATAGTAAGACTCATATGGAAAGAAGATTCAGTATAATTAATGAAGGTTTTGGTGCTAACCTCATCAACCTCTCTCGACGTTCCATAGGTTTACGCCCGAAAGATTCACCTTCAAGATTTTTGATACATTACTATAAGGGCTAGTCTAGCCGCCAAAATGTGGGAATTAACTCCTTCAGAGCGATTCCTGCAAAAAAATGCAACTTCTCTTAAACTAGAAAATCTGTCAAGTTACACTGGTCATTCTTTTCGTCGCAGTTCGCCAAGTCTCTTGGTTAATGCAGGTACTGTTTAGTACGTTAATATTATGTGAAGTGATTTAATTTTAATGCAGGTGAAGATGTTATTTCATTAAAGCGATACGGGGGATGGGAATCGTCAAAGGTTGCGGAGTCTTATATAGAAGAATCGTTTGCGGAAAGAGTAATGATTGCCAGAAAAGTTTTCAGTGATGGAACGCAAGCTTGCACTGGATGAAACACCAGATGATACAGTGGAGGCTGAAAATAGGAGTCCTACCAAGCCCAGAAGTAGTGTCCACGTGTTTCAATTCACTAATTGTATTTTTAATATTTCTTGAAAATATTGTAAGAAAGATTAATAAAATATGTCTTGAATAATATACAGCAGCATATTTTAAATTTCTATAAGATACGTTGCCATTGACGACGTACTTTATAGCCAAAATCGTATTTTATGACAAACATAAGGCAATAATTTAAATGTACCACTAGAAAAAGACAAAGCTATTCTAGTAAAAATAATGCAAAGAGGTGGAATTACTAGCAGAGACCCACTGCATATTCTTTGATTAAGAAACTCTGCAAAAATATCCCAATTGTTTCTTAACCTATTGCATTATCAAGAATGTACATGATGTGGATTTAATTATTCGACTTGACAGATAAGCGATATGATACTATTAACCTAAATTATTACCACACTGCACTGTGACTAAACCCACGTCCTTGAGTGTAGCTTATAACAAGTAGATCTCAATTTTTTAACAACAATCACATTTGTTTATCCCAAACTTTGGTCTACGACCCTGCTGTTTTTCAATACGGTTAATTCCAGATGCTGACTTTAACACGACTACTGACTAGTCCTTTGCCTTAAAAACTAAAAATGAAACTAATCTGCAAACTTCTGAGCTATCCACACTGTCAATTTTTAGTAATGTTGTATGATCTTACTTACGTAACTTGTAGTTCAAAGCAGAATTAAAAACAAAATGCTTCGTGCCACTGTGTACTTGTCAAACGAAAGTGAGGTTATGGATATGTGCATTCTTTACATTGTGCAATGTTTATTGTTTTTGTGCACAAACCGATCAGGCAGTCTGAATGCGAATCTCCGTGGTGGAAAAACGGGGTATAAGTCCACTGCCATCAAATATAGTCGCTTTTAGTTGATTAACGTAATAGCCAGCATGTTAGCGATGCCCCAAAACAAAATCGGTCCGACATTCTCTGTTTTTGCTTCGTGCGCCGACTCCGAAACTATGACGTCGGCTGTTAATATCGAAAACACGGCTTTATTAGTTTACGGGCGAATGGACAACACACCGCCGACGTCGTAAATGAAAAAGCGGCCGCAAGCCCTTGCGAAACGTCAAACAACAAACAGATGGGCGTGACGCGGCTCGGCGAGCGGGGTGCTTAACCTCGTGCCCTTCTCTAACCTAGTCGCACCCGGAATCGGCTGGACTTACCTTCGAAAGCGTTGCGGATTCCGGGCAGCTCCACGGGACTCGGGTTCGGACGACGACGGTTATTTCACACAGCACACAGTTAGCAGGACACATAAACAAATAAAATTTCAAACTAAAGTGTACTAAGCAAGCGAACGTCGGACCGCCGTGAAAGCAAGCAGCTGACAGAAAGTGCGATATACACACATTCCGCGTTCGGTCGGTTCCGGGCCGGCTCGTGTGTGGGTGTCGGGCGGAGAAAGAACAAGTGCCCGGAGCGCGGGATTCAAACATGCTGAATTATTGATTGAGCTTTCAGTTGAGGAACTAGCTAATTGTTTGGAGAAGATTGCATTTAGATTGTTTAAGCTGCGAGCTTTAAAGTGTCCACTTTTAACGGACGTGCTTTAATTGCTGCCGGAAGAGCTTCCGAACGCAGAATGTGACGCCCGCATCTTGAACGAGGGCTGGTACTTCTGCTTCCCCGTTGAAGCATTCAATGCGTGCTCTATGCGAATAACCCAATATTACTGAAATCACTACTATAAATGAAAAGAAAAGAGAAAAACATTTACTTTCTGATAAAGTTAACGAATTTTCCCGCCACTTTTAGAAACATGAATTGAACTTGGTATTAATATTTTTAGACAGAGGTAAATAATTATGCAACTAATGATTTAAAGAGATTTTTTTAAACAGAGTTATTCAAAATTCACACACTGTATACTCACATTAGAAAAGTGATAAATGCACTGCTTTTTTCACACGACCACGCGCCTCGATAATCCAGAAAAATTAACTGAAATGTATACACAAGTCGGAGAAAATTATTTTGAAGCTAAAATTTAGTATCTTAATACATGACATCTTTTCATAGCCATTAGTCTCTTAAATCCTGTTAATTACTGTTTCGGCAAATCTTACTACACATAAGTATATGTCAAGTCTTGGAAATATCCCTGTTCAAAACACTTAGACTGTGATGTTTTTTAGTGAGCAGAGGGATGTGTTTTCTTGTATATTACGGACAACTTGCTATGATAACATATCAATGCAAATTGCAGAAGTTCAAAATTAATTGAATAATAATTATAAGTTATAACACAACTCTAAATCATCAACTACTGTCATCATCTTCACTATCACTATCATCTGAAAGGGAATTAGCATTGAAAATAATGACTTGATTTGTTTCACAATTGCCTAGAATCTTTTCCGTTTGCCATAGCGAATTCATTATTTTTCGTTTACTTATATATAATTTTGCCAGTGTATATTGGGAACATGGTTGATTACATTTTCCCAAGTTTTCAGTACATTAACAATAGAAGGATCAGTTTTTGGAATACTTTTATCGGATTTTCGTTTACATTTCGATCATACCATTTCAGTAGCATTAAAATGACAATGGTATGGCGGAAGTCTTAGGACACAGTGTATTCTTAAGTATAGTGGTCTAAATATACAATCTTTCGGGCAGTCTATTGCGCAGAACATTCCAAATCTGATCTTTCATCGCTTTTTTAGAAAAATCTATCTTTTCGTGTTTTTTCTTTGTCCAACTCTTTCGAGGAATTTCTTCCAGCAAATAAAGCAGAAATATAGGTATAGTGTAATTAATATAAACTAAAATACACACCATAAGTCTACTGTCGTAAGTTGCATTATCCATTATAACAAGAGACGGTTCCGGAAGATTGGATATTAATTGCTGTTTATTTTTTTTTTTTTTTTTTTTATTAATTACGTCCCCCAACAGGCACTGAGGCCCAATTACAGGGGAACGGGACATACACGTTACACCCAGAGCCATGGCGGGAATCGAACCCACGACCCAAGGTGTAGCGGGCAAGCATGATGCTAACTAGCCCACCCCGGGTCCTCTAACTAAAACTACTTTTAAAAACTTTCCTGGTTCATATTCTCATAATAATCGCCAGATTTTGTTTTTGCTTTTAAAATTAGATTCAGTAAATCTTTGTTTATTGGTAGCAGGAACTACAATATATATACAACCCTCTCCCACATTTTTAACTGCAATTTGTATTGAACCATCTTGGCATGTTTTTTTTTTTCATATACTATTTTTACTAAATATCCATGTTACATGTAGAAAAAGGGGTTTGTATAATTTTGTTTTTCTGTGGTGCTGACATTCACTCAAAAATTTTGTTCTTCTTAGCTTAATGGATTGTCTCTGCATTAGAAACAATCGATTAATATTTTAGTAAAATTTAAAACCAACTTTCTAATCCATGTATTTAGTGCCCTGGATCCAACTTTAAAGTCTGGTATCTCTTCCATAACACTAACATGAATCGACTTAATGGTTACGTGTTCCTTATTAGATGCAACCATTTTAGACCCAATTTCTCAGATTAACATTAAACCTACACGATTTACCTGAGTTTTTATATTTCTAATAATAGTAAACATATTCTCTGTGTACTCCGTTTCACTTAAACCTGTATTTTTTTTTAATAATATAAATATTTTTCAGAAATATTTCACATTTCAGCCGCCAGTTCTGTTTTTCTTTTTTTCTTAAATTGCACAACATCATGGTGTCTTTCTAGATAATCCAACACATTTAAATATTACTTGTTTTGTTTGATCACTAAATCATTTCATTGTTCAGAATTAAGTAGAGTTGTAAAACGTTAACTAAACCATATTCTATTTGACAAAGAATTCTCATGACAAATTTTAAAATTTGACATAAAATTTCTGCCACATACTCACAATTTAGTAATTTTTTCTCTCAGGTAAAGTGCATAAGATAAAATGAGAAAAAGTTTTACCTGGGGTATTTCCACCACCATACTTTTTTCAAACGACCACTCGCCTGGCTAATCCAGCTAAATTAGTTGAAAAGTATACACAACCCGAAGAGAATGATTTTGAAGATAAAATTTAGTATCCAATTACATGGCATCCTTTCATAACCATTAGTCTCTTAAATCCTACAATTACTGTTTCGACAATCTTAGTAAAAGGAGACAGTAAAAACTTAAGTGTTGAAAAAAGGGCATTTATGTCAGGAGTGTCAAGAGATTGTGTATCATCAACCAAACTTGGAACCTGGGTTTAGCCATATTTAATTTAGCTTAGAAATACCGTTCTCATTTATTTTGTCACTTTTAAGAATTATCTTAAATGGCGTGGGATTCAGATACAGCCTACAAACAACAGTGGCTTTATTTAACATAAAGTGACAACTCAATACTTATGAAATCCTATAGCGAATAGGAACTAAGAAACGCCGAAAATTTGCCGACCCTGGAGCGTTTCGGCAAGTGAACCGTTTAGAAGACTACACCAAAAACGTACTTGTTTAATGGTTTTGTAAAATACAACATGAAGAAAATTGATAGTGGTGATACTTGAAAATTTTGAACATTTAGTAGTATACAAATTTAGATTTATTACTATTAGACCGTTGAAGGCGAATACCGACCTACCGAACACTAAAAAACAGAAGGTTCAGATTTATTAACTTTGGTTTCATCTGGTAAACAATAATATTAAAATTTGAAAATTTTTGTTTTAGGCATTGTTAACGTCACTTTTCAATGAGTCACCGCTTCTATTTTGTCACAGAATTACAATACATGTTGCATCCATAAGTTTCATTAACAATTACAAAGTGTGAAAATACTTTTAAAATTCTAAATTTATTCCTTTCAAAAGTAACAATAATTTTTGCCCAAACTTTTGCTACATTCTTAAGTAATACTTTATAATTTGTAAAGTAATCTTATCATTAATAATTCTCCGTATACCTATTTGCATTTTAACACAAATAAATATACATATTTAAAAAAAATAAGAGAAATATTTATAATTATTATTTTCATGGAAAATAAATGAGCTCGGTGTGTCTAATAACACAACAAACGTACATTGGTACCAATAGTCATTTGTGTT